AGCCATGCAATGAACATCATCGACGTTTAAGCGATTTTGGAGCCACGGCTGATTAAGGAAATCTCATTTGGGAAAAGCAGGATTAAACCAGAATTGGTGATATGGAAGTATACTTTGAGGACACAAGGATTCTTTCCAAATCAGATCGACAACTGTTTCATGCTGAGTTCTGCCATAATGACAACATTTGGGGAAAAGAAAATTCTATTTAGAAATGTTTACTCTCAGTAAATTCAAATTGGTTTTTAACTAACTGATGTCAATGAAGAGAGGTAGCGAAGAGGAATACTGCTCGGAAAAGGTAAAGTTCTCATTTTGTTTTCAGTTCGCCGTAGGGAGAAGGCGCCCGGCGTTTCCCTGAACAACAAACTGAAATCCAGCAGAGAACTTTCCTTTTCTCTTGAAATTTCGAAAATTCGGGTCTATGTATGTCAAACCACGCACATTAATACGTAATGCATTGCCCTGCAGCCTTGTTCAGGCTGACCAGACAGTTTTTCAGACTAGTTTCCCCGATAGCACTATTTTCTTAGTTTAGTTTGATGCATTTTCTTGCTCTCAGTAGTGTTTAAATTTTCGTTCTGCATTTGAATTTTACTGTCGAAAAAAGTGAAAAACATCTGACGTCAATACATTTGTTTACACATTAATCACGTGAAAGCCTTTCAACGTCACGCAGCATTGTTCTGAGAAAAAGGGAACAACCCCAGACATATCTCCACTTGCGCGTGTGTTCATTCGCCTTGTAAGCTCTTTGCTTGCGTCAGTTGTGTATAGCTGTTTTGTTCACTCCCAAGTAAGTTATTTTTAATTTACGCAAACTTATGAGCATCTTATCCTTTTCCCTTTTGGGGGATTTTCTTATTTTAGCTCGCATTGTTGAAATTTTATTTCTGCATTTGAATCATTTATAATCGAAAGATTAAAAAACTATCAACTTTATGCGCTAATGTATTTATTTTTACATTTATCACGTGAAAGTCTTTTAAGGTCAGGTGGCATTGTTGTACGAAAAAGGGAAAAACCCCACATCCTGACACGAATAAATTTCTGTCCGCGCACTGTAAGCTCGCTATTCAAGTCAGTTGTGTATAACTGTTCTGTTCATTCCTAAGCAAGTTGTTTTGTATTCAAGCAAAGTTATGATTCAAGTGTTATCCTGTTGGTCACCGTGATAAATAGAAGATCAGGTAAGGTATTGTTTCGTCGCGGTTATGCCGTAGTTCATGAACAGTTCATGTATTTGTCTCGAAGATTGTTAAATTTTTCACACTTCAATGGAATGATTTGGCTCGCTCTGATCTTTACATCGATTTACAGCTTGTACGGTAATCTTGTCAGTCGAAAACAACGACGCATGATTTCAAGTTTCGAGGGGGGGAAACCGAAAGAGGAAGCCATGCAATGAACATCATCGACGTTTAAGCGATTTTGGAGCCACGGCTGATTAAGGAAATCTCATTTGGGAAAAGCAGGATTAAACCAGAATTGGTGATATGGAAGTATACTTTGAGGACACAAGGATTCTTTCCAAATCAGATCGACAACTGTTTCATGCTGAGTTCTGCCATAATGACAACATTTGGGGAAAAGAAAATTCTATTTAGAAATGTTTACTCTCAGTAAATTCAAATTGGTTTTTAACTAACTGATGTCAATGAAGAGAGGTAGCGAAGAGGAATACTGCTCGGAAAAGGTAAAGTTCTCATTTTGTTTTCAGTTCGCCGTAGGGAGAAGGCGCCCGGCGTTTCCCTGAACAACAAACTGAAATCCAGCAGAGAACTTTCCTTTTCTCTTGAAATTTCGAAAATTCGGGTCTATGTATGTCAAACCACGCACATTAATACGTAATGCATTGCCCTGCAGCCTTGTTCAGGCTCACCAGACAGTTTTTCAGACTAGTTTCCCCGATAGCACTATTTTCTTAGTTTAGTTTGATGCATTTTCTTGCTCTCAGTAGTGTTTAAATTTTCGTTCTGCATTTGAATTTTACTGTCGAAAAAAGTGAAAAACATCTGACGTCAATACATTTGTTTACACATTAATCACGTGAAAGCCTTTCAACGTCACGCAGCATTGTTCTGAGAAAAAGGGAACAACCCCAGACATATCTCCACTTGCGCGTGTGTTCATTCGCCTTGTAAGCTCTTTGCTTGCGTCAGTTGTGTATAGCTGTTTTGTTCACTCCCAAGTAAGTTATTTTTAATTTACGCAAACTTATGAGCATCTTATCCTTTTCCCTTTTGGGGGATTTTCTTATTTTAGCTCGCATTGTTGAAATTTTATTTCTGCATTTGAATCATTTATAATCGAAAGATTAAAAAACTATCAACTTTATGCGCTAATGTATTTATTTTTACATTTATCACGTGAAAGTCTTTTAAGGTCAGGTGGCATTGTTGTACGAAAAAGGGAAAAACCCCACATCCTGACACGAATAAATTTCTGTCCGCGCACTGTAAGCTCGCTATTCAAGTCAGTTGTGTAGAACTGTTCTGTTCATTCCTAAGCAAGTTGTTTTGTATTCAAGCAAAGTTATGATTCAAGTGTTATCCTGTTGGTCACCGTGATAAATAGAAGATCAGGTAAGGTATTGTTTCGTCGCGGTTATGCCGTAGTTCATGAACAGTTCATGTATTTGTCTCGAAGATTGTTAAATTTTTCACACTTCAATGGAATGATTTGGCTCGCTCTGATCTTTACATCGATTTACAGCTTGTACGGTAATCTTGTCAGTCGAAAACAACGACGCATGATTTCAAGTTTCGAGGGGGGGAAACCGAAAGAGGAAGCCATGCAATGAACATCATCGACGTTTAAGCGATTTTGGAGCCACGGCTGATTAAGGAAATCTCATTTGGGAAAAGCAGGATTAAACCAGAATTGGTGATATGGAAGTATACTTTGAGGACACAAGGATTCTTTCCAAATCAGATCGACAACTGTTTCAGGCTGAGTTCTGCCATAATGACAACATCTGGGGAAAAGAAAATTCTATTTAGAAATGTTTACTCTCAGTAAATTCAAATTGGTTCTTAACTAACTGATATCAACGAAGAGAGGTAGCACAGAAGAATACTGCTCAGAAAGGTAAAGTTCTCAATTTAATATCAGTTCGCCGTAGGGAGAAGGTGCCAGGCGTTTGATATGATGTTTCCCTGAACAACAGACTAATATCCAGCAGAGAACTTGCCATTTCTCTTGAAATTTCGAAAATTCAGGTCTTTATATGTTAAATCACGCGCATCAATACTTAATATATTGCCCTGCAGCCTTGTTCAGGCCGACCCGACAATTTTTCAGACTGAAGTCCCCGTTAGCACCATTTTCTGACTTTAGTTTGATGCATTTTCTTACTCTTAGTCGTGTTCAAATTTTCGTTCTGCATTTCAATTTCATTGTCAAAAAAAAGTGAAAGACAGCTGACGTCAATACATGTATTTATACATTAATCACGTGAAAGCCTTTCAACGTCAGGCGGCATTGTTCCTGCTGGTCACCGTGGTCAACAGAAGATCAGGTAAGCTATTGTTTTTTCGCAATGTATGCCGTTGTTCGTATTTATTTAGAAGATTGTTGAATTCTTCACGGCTTCAATGGGATAATTAGATTCGCTCTGATCTTTACATCGATTTACAACTTGTCAGTCGAAATCAACGACATAATTCGAAGTTCGAACGTAAAAAAGGAAGCCATGCATCAATCATCACCGACTTTTCGAGCGAGTTTGGAGCTAGACAATTGCCGACGTGTAAGTCTGCTTTGAGAATACAAGAATTCTGTCCAAATCAAGCTGTTCTGCCAGGAGAGCAATATTTGGGGGAAAGAAAATTCTATTTAGAAATGTTTTCTCTCAGTAAATATGTAACCATGTGTTACCATAACCCATTAAGAGCTTTTTAAGCGTGTGTTTCGATTCTAAGAACGAAAATATACCGTCTTGAAAAACTTACCGAAATGTTAGGATGAAAAATATTGCTTTCTCCTGCCCCTTAGAATACGCGACTAAACAAACAGAATTGGATGAGCAGGAGGATCCAGAAGGACGAAATCATCGCCTCAAGAGCAAAGCTGAATCATTACTTAGTTGCTTGTGGCAAACCACTCACAAAATGCCTTCGAATTTTCTCCTGCCTCCTTCGTCAGAAATGCAAAAGTTGCGCAATCACGGTACTAGCATCTGTACGTCTGTACTTCACAAGTACACAAGCTTTAGATATGATTTCTTTTGATGGTACTGTTTGTTATTCGTGGATCTGTTTAGACGTTCGTCAGGGATGGACTCGCGGGCGACTGTACAGAGCTCGATGTTCAGAAATTAATTCAGCGAGGGTCGACTTAGCGCCCTTTTAACTTACGCCCGCTTTACATTTTTATTATTTCGTACTGATTTTCCTGAAGTGTATTTCAAGGATTCCAAAAATAACGCAGATACTCTTCGTAAAGCTAACAATAAAGAGATGAAGCAAATAAGAATACTAATGAGAAAACGTTATGTAAAACTACTGACTGACTGCGGCAGGTACATTCTGCAGGTTGCAGGTTAAAATTAAATTATAACTGGAAAACCGCTGGCACTTAAAAGAAACGTACAGGTGGTAGACTTACCGTGACTGTTACATGACCCT